TACCCTCGTAATGACATCCTTGGAACGCCCCAGCGTCGATTAACGTCTGGTAATCGACGAGGTAGCGCCAACTTAGCGCCGATTAGCGTCGACTTAGCGTCGACTAGCGTCGATTCGCATCGATTTGCTTGAGCCAACAAGATGGTACGGGAGGCTCCCATGAGCTGCCACCAGACAGGGCACGCTTCCCTTCAGGGTCCCTCTGGCTCGCAGCTCGGGACTCTCGAAATGGGTACTGAAAGCATGGGTACAGACCGACAGCAGTTCCTGTTCCTGTCCATTTCGGACAGGATTCGCTTTCCGCGCCTCCGCGGACGTTGTCCCTGGAAGACGCAACGCCGCCCGCCCAACAACGGCCGCTGTCGGTCTTGGACAGCATTTGTGGTTGGGCATCGTACCCACTTCCGTCGTACCCGCTTTGGGCGTCCACAGCAGCGGCCGAAGGCTGCCCCGCGCTGCTTCTGCCAGTGCTATAAGCCCGCGGCCCGCGGCGGCCGCCAGCGCGCGAGCTGCCGGCGCGCCTGCTGCCTGCGCCCAGAGCCTGCCTCGAAGTCTCACCCGCGGCCGAACGGCCCCGCGGCGGCGGCGTGCCAGGAGGGGGTCGGGCGAAAGGGGGGGATTGGGAAAGGGGGGGTTACGGAATTTGCTGCATGCAGCTGGTTTCGCCCCCACCGAGTGGGCCATTCCTCGATACATGGCCGCCTCCCGGTGCCAGGAGGCGCCGGGAAAATCGGCTACGTGAGCTGATTCTCAACCCCCCCCTTTGCTATCCCTTTCGCCCGACCCGAAAGGAGGGGGGGGGGCTCGCCGGAGACCGTTTGCTGCTTCCCCTGGCAATGACGGGCGGTTGATTTGCCGGCTTCCTCGCTTTGCTGTCCCCCCCCTACCCCCACGTCCGCGCCCCGGCTACGGGGTCGTGGGGAAGGAGGAGGAGGGTTCAGGATCGAGGATCGAGGTTTCGGACTGTTTCTGATGGGCTTTTTGGGTTTCTGCCTGCGGAGGCTTCGGGGGAGTTGAGGACTCGAAGCCTTTTGGTGTCCGGGCCTCTGGTGCGCCTCTTGGGATCTTGGGGCCGTCTCTGGACATGTTCAGGAATGGCCTGTTTCCACCGCGCCAGCGCGAATCGTGACGTGACCAGGGGGGGGCGGGGGGGGGCGAGGCTGGTCACGGGTGGTACCGTGAATGACGAAACGACGGGTTCTTTGGGTTGGTTTCAGCTGGCCAGCATCGTCTGGACGATCCCCGTCCCCTTTGGTCCATGGCCATGGCATCTCAGCTCCACCAGGTCACCCGCCAGTATGGGGAGCTCCTGCAAAATCTGAAGGGAACAGCAGATATTCCTATCTATACCACCTGCCTTCGGGTGATAGAGGTCTTGGGTGGTCAGGGCCCAACGTTTCATTCAATCGATATCACTATCGGTCTCACTACCGATCTCACTGTCGATCTCAATGTCGATCTCACTATCGATCTCACCATCGATCTCTTTACCGATCTGAATATCGATACCACTATCGATCTCACTATCGATCCCACTATCGATCTCACGATCGGTCTCACTACCGATCTCGCTTCGAGTCTCACTATCGATCTCACTATCAATCTCACGAACGATCTCACTACTGGACAGCTGCGGGACACCGACGAGACACCGACGGGACATCACGATCGATCCCCATTAACAGTCTCACTATCGATTTCACTGTCGATCTCACGAATATCGATCTCACTATCGATCCCACTATCGATGTCGTTACCGATCCTACTATCGATCTCACTCTCGCGGTCTCACTGCGAGACCCACGGGACACCGATGGCACACTACTATCGATCTCGCTATCGGTCTCAGTCGATCGATCTCATTATCGATCGCACTCCTGATCTCACTGCCGATCCGACCTCACAGCGATCACCTTCTCTCTCTATCGGTCTCACCTTCGATCTCATCGTCGATCTCACTACTGGACTCCGGCGGGGCACCACGGCGGGACACCACGGCGGGGCCCGGCCAGCCGGGCGAGGGGGACGGTCGTGTGGCCCGGCGGTGCCCTGGTCAGAGGAGGGCTCATTCTGTCGACCACCCGCGAAGCCTTGCCTGAAGTCGGGCCTGTCCCTCCGCAGGAGCAACCTGCAAGTCCAACATTCCTCTCCAGGGGGACACGCCCGACTCAAGCCCTGCCTCGCCCGCACGTGCAGCACGACCACGATGCCGAAGCCGATTTCCCGGTGGGGGGCTCTCCGCTCCACTGCGGTATCCCCCCTTATCACCTCCCGCCTTGGGGGCAAGTCGGCCAGTGGAGCCACATGGCCTTGCCAGAGGGGTAAGAAGGATCGGAGGAACGGCGCTCAGATGGGGGTCAGGGTGGGCGGGGGCACATCCTGGGTTGGGGGTGTCCAAGGGGGGTGTGAGGACTCGTGGGGGTGGATCTCATAGCCGGGGCCATGATAAAGATCTGCATTCCGAGATTTCTCCCTTGTGGAGCGAGCTGAGTGGTAAAACCACAGCTCCGAGTTTCTCCCTGTTCGCATCTCGAGTTGGATCAGCTGGTACCTGAGAAACCAGCGGGGTTCGTGTACAAACTCGAGTGCGCCAGCCCTTGACCGAGGCGTTTCCATAGTACATCGGGCCCGTGGGCCATGATATCTCCCAGTTTTCGTGGCCCCCATGTCCTTCTATCAACGTCTTCCTGGCCTTCCTTCTTACACAGTTCCCTAACCCCCCTCTTTTACGCCCCCCTCTTGGACGCCCCCGACTGGGGAGCCAGGGTGACCCCCAGGGGCGCGAATATAGGCGGTTGTCGCGCGTCGCGGCCTTGGCAGCTGAGCTGACCTTCTCAAGGGGGCCGGACAAGGGCGTGAGGTCGAAGAAAAGGAGGGATAGGGAACGAGGGGCTTACGAAGACTGCTGCACGCAGCTGGTTTCGACCTCGCCGCTGGGCGCTCCACTCGATATCTTGGCGCCTCTGGCGTCTGGCGCTGCGAGGCGCCCGACATGCAGCCGATTCGCCAACCCGTCCTGTCTGCTATCCGCTCCTCGTGTCCGCCACGAGGGGTACGGCCCTCCTACATCCTCAGCCAGCCCAGGAGGAAGATGAGGAGGAGGAGGAGGAGAATGAGGAGGAGGGGGAGGGGAGGAGGAGGAGAGGGGAGGAGAGGAGGAGGAGGGAGGGGGAGGAGGGAGGAGGAGGAGGAGGAGGAGGAGGAGGAGGAGGAGGAGGAGGAGGGAGGAGAGTGGAGGGAGGAGGGAGGAGGATCCCTCGCCCCCATCCTGGGCGCCCCCTCCGCCATGACCGCTCCTTTCGGCACGCGCGCATGGCACCCCAGCACCGCCCCCCCCCCCCCCTGCCCGCCCAGCTTCCCTTCTCCCCCCAGCCAGCGCGCTCCCTCCGCCCCGACCACCCCCCCCACTCCCAGCCAGCCCAGCTCTCCCTTGCTCCCCAGCCAGCGCGCCCCCCTCCGCCCCGGCCGTTTTTATTGCGGCACGGACACGCTGCGCCAGCACCGCCCTCTTCCCCAGCCAGCCCAGCCTGGTGAGGCTTCAACAGCCCATCGGAAGCAAAACAAGTGCCAGGGAACAAATGATAGATTTTCCTTAGGCTCTTCAAGGATTAGGCTTCTTTTTGGGGGGGTGCGGGTGGTCCTCTGGGTGCTCTGGAAGCGCTTGAGGCCGTCGTGTGGGCCTCTCGGGGCCATCTCGGAGCACTTCCCTCCACCTCCACCTCCTTCTCCTCCTCCTCCTCCATTTCTTTTCCTTATACCTATTTTCGCCGTGCCGCACCCCGAGGCCAGTTTTTAGAGCGGGCCGGGTGTTTCGCCTGAGACTTCCTCACCATTTATGCCCTTGAAACTACAACCTTAGCAACAGTTTCACACATGGAGGGCGGGTCGTTTTCAAAATGCGGCTCTCGCCGTAGCGCCGCGCACATTCGTTTTTGAAACTTTGCAAGAGTTTCAAGGATTGATGGCGAATTGTTTTCATCATGTGGCTCTCGCTTCAGCGCCGCGCACATTAATTGTTTTAAGTTTGCAAGAGTTTTGTTCAACATGTGGCTCTCGCCTTAGCGCCGCGCACATTCGGTGTTTTTAAATTGCAAGAGTTTTACGGCATCCCATGATCAGCGTACCAAGAGGTGAGGGTGCAACAGTTACGTTGATTCGCGGTGTTGAAGTCTCAGGAATGGTTTTCGGGCACGATTCAGGATAGTTGAGATGTAACAGTCAGGTGGTCCCGTGGCGTTGGAATCCCGAGACCGATGTGTTGGTATGTGTCAGGGTCTTCAAACGGTTGTCTCCCAACGAGGCAGTTCCCTCAGTGGAACTGAATCGTTGTAGGGGAGCTTGGAGGGAGGGTTTATTCCAACATCGTTGATGACTCTTGGGTTTACACTGGTCCTCCTCCTCCTCCTCCTCCTCCTCGTCCTCCTCCTTCCCCTCCCCCTTCTATTATGTGCGAGAGCCATGCACGCGTTCCACTTGCTTGTCAGGAAAAAGGGATGGAGGAGGAAGAGGAGGAGCGGGAGGAGGAGATGGAGAAGGATGAGGAGAGGGAGGAGAAGGATGAGGAGGCGGCGGAGGAGGCGGAGGAGGATGAGGAGGAGGAGGAGACGGAGGAGAAGGGGGCCGGCCCACAGAAGACTCCGGGCGCCCGGCGATTTGAGCTCTCCCCCCCTCTGCGCGCCGCCAGCAGTCTCCGATCCGTGGTTGTGCCGACTCCTTCCGCCCGGCTGCAGGCAGCGCTGGTCGCGGGAGTTGCCCTTCGTGCCCGGCTGCTCCAGAGGGGCGGGCAGAGGCAGGAATCACACTAACGCTTGGCCGCGTCGGTCACCGCAATAATAAATGCCCTCGCCATCTTTCTCGTCGTCGTCGTCGTCGTTTCCATCCCCCTCCTCGTCGTACGTCTCCCCCTCGTCGTCCGCCCGCCGTCCTGGTCCTGCTCCTCCGTCTCTCGCTCCTCCAGAGATCTCGGGAGGAAAGAGGGGCGAACGTGTGCGCGCGGGGAGGACATCATGAACATATACGAGCAACTGCAGTTGAACTCAGGCCGCGAGCTCGGATTGCCCGAGAGGTAGGACGAGGAGGAACGTTGAGGCACAGCAGAAAGGGAAGGAGGAGGAATGAGGATGAGGAGGATGACTGAGGAGGATCAGGAGGGGGGGACGTGAAAAGTGGGCGGGCCCTCCCACAAGGCGGCGGTCCCAGAAGGCGGCGAGGGGCTTGTCGGAGGCCTTCTGGCCATCCCGAGGCCCCGCCCCTGTCCTCGGATCGGGGAGACGTAAGGCGAGTAAGCCGGAACGGGGGCTTGCCGACGTCTTTTGACGACCGCGCCCTGGATTCTGACGATCCAGTTTTCGTGGGATGTTTGCAGCGGGAGCTCGCGTCAAACTTCAGATTGGGCCTCGTTATTTTTTTGATGGCCCCGTCAGGCCAACCCGAGTCCCCCGTCCTGTCCTCGTCCTCGCTGTCCTCGGACAAGGCTCCGAGCACCCTTCGGCGGCCCGAGTCCCTTCCGAGCCCTCGGAGCAGGCCCTCTTCCTCGGCACTCCCCCCCCCTCCTCGGCACCCTCGCCTCCTCCTCGGCATCCTCTCCTCCTCCTCGGCATCCTCCTCCTCCTCCTCCTCGGCATCCTCTCCTCCTCCTCCTCGGCGTCCTCCTCTCCTCCTCCTCGGCGTCCTCCTCCTCCTCCTCCTCGGCAGCCTCTCCGGCCTCGGAGAGTGCCCGCCTCCTCGGCCCACTCCCTCCCGTGCCCGCCGCCGCTCCCCTGCGGCCTCGAGCTCCTCGGCGCTGCCCCGCCCGCCGGCACTCTCTCCGAGACGCGCGGGGGACAGCGCGCTCGCGGCTCCGCGCCGCCTCTCTCGGCCGGCGGGCACCGGCCGGCCGCCCCGCCGGCCGCCCGTCGGAGCTCGGAGGCGGGGGTCAGGGCAAGGAGGGGGGTGCTGACTTAGGGGGGGCGGGGTGATGACTCAGAGGGGGCTCAAAGATCATACTAAGAATCGTATTATTTCAAATGCATGCGAGTACTGATACCAGGACGAAGCATACGACTAAGACTAATCATAGGGATGACGTCTCCTGGTGATGTCTCCTGCGCCTTCGCTCGGGGTCGACAACGAGGGGGGTGATGACTAGGGGGGGGGTGGATCTCATGGCGGGGGCCATGAGATCTCCCCATATTCCACGGCGACCCTTCTTATTTCAACACGTCCCCGGCCCCCCCCCCACCCCTTTGGGCCGCGCGCATGCCGCCGCCCCTGATTTGCACCCCGCCCTCTTGGACGCCCCCCTCTTGGCCGCTCCCGACAAGAGGCGGGGGTCCATGCAAACGGGGGTCAGCCAGGGCACCAGATCTTCCAGGACCTTGCGAAGACCCCCTCTGGCCGACCCGGGTTGGCGAGCCGCTCGTGGCCGCGGGGCGGCCGCGCATACTGGCTGACCCGGGTTGGATTGCGAAGACTTGCGTTGCGGCTTTTTTTTTCTCCTGCATTGCCCAAACATCTTCTTTGGGCGGAGGGCAAAGGGTGAAATCTGAAGTGCCGTCTCGAGGGGCCTTCGAGGCTCGAGTCTGCACAAGGAGAATCCCAAGATGAATGGACTCCTCGAGGTGCAGAAGCCCATATGGATTTCACCCTGAGCTCTCCACCCTAAGAAAATGCTCAGATTGCAGTTTTTTGGTTTCCGGCCGACCCGGGCTTGGACTGACGCGCGTCCGCAGACCCCCCGACGCCCCGCCGTGGGAGCTGCCGGCTGTGGGGCCCTCGGCCTCCCGCTCGCCAGCGGCCCTCCGCGCCCAGGCGATCGCAAGCATGGAGCAAGGAGGCGTGGATTAGCGTTATGTCAGTTATGTCAGGCGTGTCCCCCTACAGGGGGGATTTTCGATGAAACATGTTCTTTTTAAAGATATGCCAAAAAGCGCAAAAATATGAAAACATAGTCCCCAGACTATTCTTGGATGATTTTTGGAACACTTTTTTAGTATTTTTGCATTTTTCGTCGAAGATCCCCCTGTAGGGGGACAGGCCCGACCTAAGATTAGCGACGAGTCCCGTCTGCATGGGGAATCGCACGCTTCCGCCGCCGAGCGAGGCGGCACCGGCCGCACTCTGGGGGGGGGGGGGGGCGCCTCCCCCCATATGCATGGATTTGTGGCGACCGCGCGCCAAATCAACGGATCGCGAATCCATGCTCCAGGGAGCCTTTTTGCGAACCCGACCCCTACCCCCCACGATTTCTGAGGGGGAGGGTGGGGTTCACCTTGCTTGCGAGCTCCCGAGCGAAGTGTCCATGGGTCGCGCGTCCCCATGCCTGCGCGCCCCCGACGTGCCCAGCCCGGTTCGAGGCCTGCCTCGTCGGCTCCCTCGCGCCCCTCCCTCCGCGGACGGTGGGCCTCCGCACCTCGATGTTCAGGAGGGAAAGAAACACACAGACACAATTAATCGTCGACTCCCAGGAAAATATGCAAAAATATGGGAAGTGGTGGGGAAGACAAAAACCCAGAAAATATGGGAAAATATGGGGGATATTTTTATTTGTGTGGATTTATTTGTGTGTTCCAGTTCCCCTTCAGATGTGGGAGCGCAGTGGCCCGTGCGGCGGCGCTCTGGTTTGGGGAGGCGACTGCGCGTGGCGGCGCTGGCTCTGTGTCGGTCGTGCCCCCCTACAGGGGGAATGTCGACGAAAAATAAAAGTACCCCCAAAATACTCCAAAAGGTCAAACAAAAATTCAAAGAATAGTCCCCAGACTATTTTTGGACATTTTTTTAAAATGATTTTTTGGGTATTTTGAATTGTTCGTCGAACATCCCCCTGTAGGGGGACAGGCCCGACTTAACGCTGGCTCTCCATCAACAGTGTCCTTGGTCACCCGCCGGTCCGCGGTTCTGTCCGGGGAGTGGCTGCGGGAAGAACCTTCGACCGCCCGCTCGTCAGTGCCTCTCGACCCCGATTTCCCTGTTTCGAGGTCTGCCGAACGGGCTCTCTCGGGTCGCTCCCTTCTGCGACCAATCTCGAAACGTGCCCCTGCTGGTTCAAGCGATGAGAGGGGGTACGACACCCCCAGTGGTCTCACTTGGCTGCAGCCATTCTTCGATGTGTGATCCCAAGTGGGTGTATCAGGAGTCTGACCTATAGGGGTGGGGTTCGAGTGCGAGCGACGGAAGACACCAGGTTCGTCTTCGTTGACATTGGCGCGTAAGCTGCCTGCGCCTCATCGTCGCGTGTATGGTTGCCTATCCCTGCTCCCGTGGGCCGCCGCGTGCTGAAGATACTATCCTCGTGTTCTTTATCTTTGCTGGCTGTCCTTGTGCATCCTGGGGACAGGGTGCCCTCGAATGTTCTTCAGTATGGCCAGCGGAGGGTCTCATGTTCTCGAAGGATGATCTTCTGGCCTAGGTTTAGGTCGGGCCTGTTCCTCTACAGGAGGAATATTCAAAAATAGTCAGAAAATAGTCTGGGGACGATTTTTCTGTCATCTGTGATTGTTTTTGAATATTCCTTGACCATTTTTAGTTTCGTCCAAAAACCGCCTGTAGGGTGAAATGCCCGACCTAAGCCTAGGTCCGGCCGTGTGGTGGCCCGCGCGGCTCTCGCCCGAAGGGGCGTCATCGGGTCAGCGCAGCTTTGGCTTCTTCCAGCTCGAGTATGGAGGAAGTCTCAGGCGGGCACCTCGCCTGATACGAGCTGGTCATCGGAATCCTGTAACCTTCGCCATTTTTGGGCTCCTGAGGCCTGAGTGTAGGGGGAAATCCGAGGCGGCAGCCACGTCTGTGGGTGTATTGCGAGGAAATCTCAAGCGGGAGCCCCCTCCCTATGGAGCCCGCAGATCATCAGAAGCCTGTGACCTTCGTCACTTTCGGCCCCTGGACCTGAAGTATGGAGGACGCCTCAGGCGGGGGCCTCGTCTGTGAGTGAGTTGTGAGGGAGTCTTAGGCGGGAGCCCCTCCCCTAGGGGGGCCGCGGCTCATGTTCGTAATCCGAGCGGGTCATCGGAATCCTGTCACTGTCGTCTTTCTGGTCTCTTCAAGCTTGAGTGTGGAGGACCTCTCAGGCCAGAGCTTCGTCTGAGTGAATTGCGAGGGAGTCTCAGGCGGGGGCCCCCTCCCTATGGGGTCCGCGCATTGTGTTGGTAATCCAAGCGGGCCATCGGAACCCTGTAACTGTTGTCGTTTTTTCGGCTCCTCGGGACTGAATATGGCCCCCAGGGCTGAGGCGGAGCAGCTTGTGGCAGAGCTGACATTCGTGCTGCCTCCCACCAGAACGCGTCCCGCACTAACTCGGCGCTCTTGGGTTTGTCGGCGCCTTTTTTGTTTTTTGTTTTTTTTCTCTTGCGCCCTCGAAGTTCGGCGCCCTTTGTTTTTATTCGTTGCCTTTTTTCGGTTTGACGCTGTTGGATTTTGTTCTAGCGATTCAGGGCGTTTTTTTGTATGGCGTTTGCTCGACGCGTTTCGACTTTGTTCGTCGACCTTGGATCTTTTCGGCGCCTTTTTCTTTTGGTTTGTTTTCTCCGGCGCCTTAGGTGATTTTCGGCGCCCTTGTTTTTTTTGTCAGCGCATTTTTTTCCGGCGCCCTTTGGTTTTGCCGGCGTCTTTGTTTATTCCCTTGTGCCGTCGGTTTTTTGTTGGCACCTTTCGGTTTTCATAGCTCCTGTTTTTTTGTTCGGCGCCCTGTGGCTTTTGTTTAGGCGCCTTTGGGCGCCATTAAGGTTTTTTCGGCGTTCTTGGGTTTTTTTGGCGCCCTTTGTTTTTTTGACGGTGCCCTTTTTTTGTCCGGCGCCTGTTTTTTTCGACGCCCCGTTTTTTGTGTGCTCTTGGGTTTTTTGCTGTTTCTGCACCCCTGTTTTTTTCGACTCCGTTTTTTGCTTGTTTTGTTTTCGCTTTCCCCCTCCCGGCGCCCTTGGCCGTACTTATTGTCTGTTGTCGACGCCCTTTCTCTCAGGCGTCCTTGGATTTTGTCAGCTTGTTTCTTGCGCCTTTTGTTGCCTTTCGTCGCCCTCGTGTGCGCTCTCGGCGCCTGTGTTTTTTTTCGTGCGCCCTTGGTTTGATCTGCCCCGTTTGTTTTTTGCGCGGCGCCCTTTGGTTTGTTCGGCACCTCTTGTTTTCCCCCCCGACCGGCCGTCTTGGGAGCCCGTGTTTTTTTTCGACGCCATTGGGTTTTCGACGTTTTTTGGTCAGCGCTCTTCTTTCTCTTCGGCGCCAGTGTTTTTGTTCGGCGCCTTCTGTTTTTTTCGACGCCCTTTGGTTTTCTCGGCGGCCTTGGTTTTTCGCGGTCCCGTTGGTTTTCCACCCCTACGACTTTCGTCGCGGCGCCCCCGTGGGCCCGGTGAGCCGCCACGTCAATTATCTTGGGGGCTTGGGGTTTTTGTCTTGGGAGCTCTAAGATTCTCGACAAGGCGCCCCCGTGGGCTCGCGGGGCTGCCACATCAAAAATCATCGGTATCTGGCTTTGGGGAACCACAGATTTTTGACATGGCGCCCCCGTGAGCTCGGTGGGCCGTCGCGTCCAAAATCCTGGGGCTCCGGCTCTGGGAACCTGACAGTTTTCGATGGTGATGGTGATGATGATGGTGGTGATGATGATGATGATGACGATGATGAGGATGATGATGATGATGATGATGATGATGGTGATGATGATGATGATGACGACGATGATGATGATGATGAGGTTGACGATGCTGCTGATGTTTATGACGATCAGGCAAATAAAGATGATGATGGTAATTATGATCCTGCTGATGATGGTGCTGGTGATGATGACGCTGATGATGATGTTGGTGGTGGTGAGGATGGTGGTGGTGATGGTGATGACGATGATGACGTTGCTGATGATGCTGATGATGCTGATGATGTTGATGACGATGATGATGATGACCATGAAGATGCTGCTGTTGATGATGACGCAGGTAGTGATGATGATGCTGATGATGCTGCTGATGATTATAGCGGTGGTGGTGATGATGATGATGATGCTGATGATGGTGCTGATGATGACGATGATGATGAAGATGATGATGATGATAATGAGGATGATGATGATGATGATGATGATTGATGATGATGATGATGATGATGATGATGATGATGATGATGATGATGATGATGATGATGATGATGATGATGATGACGATGATGAGATGATGATGATGAGGATGAGGATGAGGATGAGGATGATGATGATGGATGAGGAGGAGGATGAGGATGAGGATGAGGATGAGGATGAGGATGATGAGGATGGATGGATGAGGATGAGGATGATGATGATGATGATGATGATGATGATGATGATGATGATGATGATGATGATGATGATGATGATGACGATGATGATGATGATGATGATGATGATGATGCTGATGATGATGATGATGATGATGATGATGCTGATGATGCTGATGCTTGATGCTGATGCTGATGCTGATGCTGATGCTGATGCTGATGCTGATGCTGATGCTGATGCTGATGCTGATGCTGATGATGATGATGAGGAGGAGGAGGAGGAGGAGGAGGAGGAGGAAGGAGAGAAGGAATAGGTCAAGGGGAACAAGGGGGGAGGGGGAGGGGGAAGTATGAGGAGGATGGAAGTATAGGATGCGTACCTAGAAGGAAAAAAAGGGGGAGGGGGAAGCATGAGGAGGGTGAAAGTAAGTGGAGGAGGAGGGGGCAGTTGGATGGTGATGCAGACGCTACGCTCCCGCTGAACCGCCAGCACGTTGGACGAACACGGGGTGGGAGGAGGGCCGGAGAGGGAGGTGCCGCACCCCGCGCGGCGAGGGCGGCGGGGCGTTTCGCGAAGCGTGGGGGGCGCGCCGCAGGCTTCACGTCCAGCCAGCTCGAGCCGCTGCGGGAGACTGGCGGGGGTCGCCTGCGCCCGCATTGGGGGAGGAGGAGGAGGAGGAGGAGGAGGAGGAAGAGGAGGAGGAGGAAGAGGAGGAGGAGGAGGAGGAGGAGGAGGAGGAGGAGGAGGAGGAGGAAGAGGAGGAGGAGAAGGATGCGGGAGACCGGGGGGCGCCTGCGCCCTCACTGGGGGCGCATTTTCTGCACGCCGATGGCGCCGCCGATAGATCGCCGAACTCGCCGATACATCGCCGATACATCGACGACGCATCGCCGATGCATCGGCGATGCTGCGAGATCCTCCGACCCCACCTGCCCTGACCCCATCTAGGGGGCCTCTACCTGTGGGGGTGTGGTCGTCGTCGGTCCGTCGTCCGTTAGAGGAGGCAGGCGGATGGAAGGGAGGCGGGTGGGAAGGAGGAGGAGGAAGAGGAGCAGGGGGAGGAGGAGGAGGAGGAGGAGGAGGAGGAGGAGGAGGAGGAGGAGGAGGAGGAGGAGGAGGAGGTGGGGGAGGAGGAGGTGGAGGAGTAGGAGGGGAGGAGGAGAAGGATGGAGGAGAGGTGGGAGGAGAGAGCATGAGGGGAGAGGAGGAGGAGGAGGAGGAGGAGGGTTTTTGTCAGAGTCGGAGGTGGGAGGGAGGCTCGTGTTCGATGTTGTGGGTTTCGGCGGTTTTCGGCCTCGGGGTGCTCTCCAGCAGCTGCGCCTCGGCGAGGGCGTTTCGGGGGGGTACCCCCGGCTCGTCCGAGCGGCCGCTCGACGCCCGAGCCGTGGCCCGAAAGCCAGGCGATTCGGGAGGAGGTAGGAGGAGGAGGAGGAGGAGGAGGAGGAGGAGGAGGAGG